CTCTCTCTCTCTCTCTCTCTCTCTCTCTCTCTCTCTCTCTCTCTCTCTCTCTCTCTCTCTCTGTGTGTGTGTGTGTGTGTGTGTGTGTGTGTGGAAGAAATGGAAAAAATCTTGCATTGGTTCTTGGAAGCTGATTCTTTGTGTGTGCTAAATGTCTACCCAAAGTCAGGGTGAAGTTGGTATGGTGCGCTGCTGTTGTTGCTATAGTGTCATGAGTGTCATGTCTGATAAGGCACTTTTCAACTGCCAAAATTTCTCCAAATATAGTTCCCATCCAGCTGCAAGTATCTGGAATCTCAATGCGTATCTCATTTTGTGTCTGGGTACGTTCATTGATGTCGCCGTTTTGTGTTCTCATAAGTGTGCAGCAGCTTTCACACTCACTTGACTACCCGGAATGTCTGCATGCAGCTGCTCTTTTCTCGACAACATTCGACTAGAAAGCAGCGAAGCATTTGTTCGAGAGAACAGTAGCAGTGAAGCAGTGACTGCAACAGAGGAAGCAACTTCGGAGGCTATTGGGATGGCAACGATGGCAGCACTTGCTGGCTCTCAGCTGTCACTACTGGAGTGTCATTTTGTTGGATGCGGTCATTCTACAAATAGTTTAACAGCACAGGCTCCTTGCTGACTGCAGATTCTATCTGCGGTTATATTTGGCAGGTATGTAGCAATAAGGAATGAAATGTCACGACGAACTTCGATCTGGATTTTCTGATTTTCAGGCAAAGTGTTCCACTCTTGATGAAGAGTAACAGAGTACTTTTGCCTATAAAATCACAAATGGGTTTAATGGGGTGCATTGTGAAGACAGGGAGGGATAGTGAAGGACAAGGATGTTTGCCTGCTGCACCCCTATCCGCCTACTTTCCGCTAGTGCTTGTGCACTAGCGAGAAAAAAGTTAAGCTATGAAATTTGAATAATATTGGGAAACTCTGCAAAGTTGTGAACATGTACATCTCTGCCCATTCATGTACTAGGTAAGCCTTTCAGAACGTAAAAGTAAATAGAAATTCTAAGAGAATTAGCCAGTTTTTTTACTCACACACTTGTGTTGCTTCCAGCATTCTATTGACAGACTCTCAATCTCAATTTTTTTTTAAACATGTGCTTCTTCCATCATTCTTCTGTCTGACTCTCAATCTCAATTGTTTTAAGAACTTGTAAATATTTTTCTCATTTCTCTATCGGCTTGCCTTAGTATCTTATCGCGCTGTCTTATGGCTCTCTCATTCGTGCAGTGGAAAACGGATTATGATCTATTATAATATAGAAACCGCTAACGTCATATCGCACTGCCCGGATTGCGGGCCGATCACCACCCGCGGACGGTCCAGATTGCAGGCTGATGAGAAACGTTTCTCATCAGCCTGTGAGCTTGGCCATCCACGGGTCGTGATTGGCCTGCAATCTGGGCCGCCGGTTCGTACCGGAAGTGACACATGGCCCGAAACGAACCGCCCAAACGGCCCTTCCGCGTTTTCTTTTTTCTTCCTTTTTCGGTTGTTTTTCGTTGTTTTCCGCTGTTTTGCTTTGGTCCAGCCCGTCTGTCTGCCACTTCTGAACGCGCGCCACGCGCCCAGACCCAAAATCACCCGCCCACTTTTTGATTGGCGGGCTGTATCTGCCCGCCATTCGAAGGGGCGGGCTTCTCAATCGTCCACTCGGGCGCTCTGCCGCTACAGGACGCTACGGCACGCTACGACACTCGACTGCTCCCTCCTGCCCTAGCTCTCTCTCTCTCTCTCTCTCTCTCTCTCTCTCTCTCTCTCT